CTCTCCAAGGGCACCGGCTGTGGCAGGAGGGCTCCTTCACCTCAAACGCAGCAGCCAGCAGGCACTACTGAGAGAAGCTGCTTACGCCTCCACCCAGCTCAGGGATTTTCTGGATTTCATTCTTTCCCCCTATTCTGACTGCAAACAGCTCCATCAGGGCCAAGCAGCCAACTTTGGGTATACCTGAGATGTGAGCAGTTCGGAAGAAACCACCTCCATGAGGTGATTCCTTCAGAGGGCCTGGGGGGAGGCAGTGGCTGTCCTTGCCATTCCTGTCTGAGGAATGCTGGAAAGCATGCTGGGGGCTTTTCTCAGGAGGCAGGAGCGGGATCCACATCTGGGACTGCTCTAAAGTTTTCCCCCTAAGTCCCAGGCCACTGCACCCACTGCACTCTGGGGACCTCATAGCTCTTGGCCTCTGAGGAAAGGTCTCTATGGTGGCAAAGGGCTGAAGAACAGGGGCCATAGGCTGTCTTGCCTCAAACCATAACGTCCCTCTCAGGGCCCTCTCAGCATCATCACACATGCATGTGACCAAGTGGCAGCATGGCCTGAACTGGATGAAGTGGGGAACAGCACCCAGGCTTGCGGGAAGCCCCCAGAAGCAGCCCCAGTTTCCTGCAGACCTGCACCGTGAAGGGCAGGCTGGACCCACCCCCAGGGCTGAGGAAGGCTGAGCCAGCAGCCTCCCTGCAGGGACCAGAGCTGCATCTGGCCCAGCTGACTCAGCAGGAGGCCAGGGTTTCCTGCAGGGCAGCACTGCCAGTGGATCTAAGCCAGAGAAGATGGTGCAAGGGGGAGGTGGCCCACTCCCCACCCTCTGAGAGGACACAGTAGGCAAAAGAGCCCTGGCTCTGCCGCCCTAGTGCTCAGTTCAAGGCCTGGCCAGAACACCTCCCAGCTGGGAGAGACCCAGGCCTCTTAAATGGGGGTGATACCTGTCACTGGCAGAGCAGTTAAGAGGGTTAAATGTGTGACAGACATGAGGCAAGTAGGAGCTAGCCTTCATGCAGCAGCCACCCTCCCAGGAAACTACAAAGGGAGGAGGAGGATGTGGCTAGGGGAAGGGGTCTGGATCAGACTGGGAGGGAAGAAAGGAGTTTCAGAAAAGCATCCTGTCCTTTGCTGTGGTGTTCCAGGGCTCCTGCTTTCCCAATGACCATGGCAGGGAGAGAGAAGCCACACAGTGGGGCACAGAATGAAGGGGAGGACTCGGGCAGGTGGGCTGAGCCACAATCATTGAACCAGCTCAGAGTATTCCCAGGTGTCAGGGCTTCTGGCCCTGTGTCCCACCCAGCCCCTGGCAGTACAGGGCTATTACAGGGTACAGCTAAGGCTAGAGGGGAGCAGCCCATGGTAGGCTGGGAGAGCTATGGGTCCAGGTATCCAGCCAGACCACTGGAGCCTGGAGGGAGGGGCTAGAGGGTGACTAGCTTACAGGAAGGCACACTGTCAATGAAATTACTCAAACAAGGGAGGCCATGCCCCTGCTTACCTTGGCTAGTACTGCCACAAAATTTTTCAGAGCCACCAGGCGCTGCCCCTCCAGGACAGAAAACTTGCCCACTTCTACCCGCAGGATATAGTGTAGGGCAGATTCCAGATCAGCCATGTAGATCTTGGAGCTGAGGAGACAGAGGGAAGCAGAGAGAGAGAGACAGGTGCATTAACTGTGAGGCAGGGATGGGGAGGAACATCCAGAGAAGAGGAGATCAGGGACACTGCTGATGGTCACATGGTCCTATAAGTCAGCACATGCTTCTGCCAGAAATGCGCTGTGTGACCTTGGGTAAATTACTTAACTTCTCTGAGCCTCAATTCCCCCTTTGTAAGATAGGAATAATAGGCTTGATACCTGTAGCTCAGTGAGTAGGGTGCCAGCCACATACGCCAAGGCTGGCAGCTTAGAACCTGGCCCCAGCCAGCTAAACAACAATGACAACTGCAACAAAAAAATAGGGTGGTGGGTGGCTGACTGCAGTCCCAGCTGCTCAATAGGCTGAGGCAAGAGAATCATTTAAGCCCAAGAATTTGTGAGCTGTTATGCCATGCCACTCTACCCAGGGCGACACAGTGAGACTATCTCAAAAAAAAAAAGGAATAATATATTGTTCACAAGTAGGTTGCTGAGGGGATTAAATAAAAGCACAAATGTCAAATTCTCAGCAGCTCCTGACAAAGAATGGGGGTGTCCCCTGCCACCCAGGCTCAAGGCTAGCCTGTGGCTCACTAATAAGGCCACGTCTGAGCAAAGACACCTAGGGACAAACAGACTGGCAGATACACACACACACATGGCTTTGGAAAAGCTGGGCCCTCTTTGAAGGACCAAGGCTGCTAACACAGACTGGGGACTGAGGGGGTGGGGCCAAGAGGGGAAATGAGGTTGGTATTTCTTTCAGCACTGATGTGCTCACAGCTGTGGGCCCTGTGTCACACCTCCCCACTGCCCTAGGGGAAGGGGCAGTACTTTCCAAGCTGGCTGCTCTACCCCACACCTATCATGCTACTTGGGGTCCAGGCTCACCACTCTGATGGCATGAGCCCTGAGCACCAGCTGCCCCTCTACCCCTGCCCTCTGAGACCTGGGTTCTGCCCTCAGTGGACAGTGAGCCAATTCTGCAAGCCTGGGCAACTCAGTGGCCTCGCTGGGACCTTATTACCCAACCTATGCAATAAACGAGCCTGCCTGCCTCCCCAGGTCATAGGAAACCAACACAGTCAATGACGGATGAGTACTGGGGCTGCCTGTGTTTCCCCTCAAAACCAAATCTCCTACTCTGCTCTACTTGGTGTGCTTGGGCCTCAGTTTACCTCTCCATTCTTGTGTCCCGCCTAAAGGAGTGGCCCCATGACCAAAAGAGACAGCACAGGGAAGGTGCCCAGCACAGAACATAGCACATAAACCAGAGTCAGCTGTGATAAAAATTTATATGATTTGAATAATCATAATTTGAATGATGAAATTGCTCATCGCTGCCTCTTACTCTTTCCTTCTCCCAATTTACTGAAAATCCATTGGCATGTTCCACCCTGAAAGTCCCTCATCCTATGATGCAAAGTCCTTCTTGTGATCAGATCACCTTTCCCCCAATTCTCTCATGTACTCCTGGTGACAGCCACCTCCCGACCAGTTCTGAGCTCCCTGATCACGCTGGGAGATGTGTGGTTCACAGCTGGTGCACAGCGAGGGCTCTATGGCTCTGTCCCCTGCCTGCCAGTAGGAAGTCTACCACAGGAGAAAACCAAGGAGCCTCAGAGAAGAGCAGCTTTCATGCTTACGATTGTGCAGTGATAGGGGCTACCTGAAGGAGGCGTGAGCTCCCTGAGGCGGGAGCCATTCCAGTGAGGGGAGGTGCCCTCCCAGCAGGGATGCCGTGAAGGGGATCTGAGCAGGGCCTACACCTGCCCTGCATATATCTGTGTTGTTAGAGCCTATAGCATAGTAAGTACTCAAAAGTATTTGCTGAAGAAATAATTGCTTGAGTAGAAAGTTGGTTTGGAGGCCTTGGAGTATCCTTCCAAGCTGATTCTAACTTGCTCTTGAATAGACCGTAGGAAAGGGAAAGCAGGCCTTCTGCCAGGAAGGGTAACCAGAAATGCTGTTTCCCCACCCGCTGCCGTCATCACTGGGGGTGGGGGGTGGGGGGTCCTGGCAGCTGCTAATTGCTGTGGCTCCTGCACATTGAAGGCCCCTGTGCCCGCCTGGCCCTCAGTGGGGGGCGGGGGAGGGTAGACTCAGGGAAGCACTAAACCTGTGACAGGGAACAGGGGTAAGCAAGAGTCTGTGATCAGAGGAAAGGCCGGGTGGGGGAATATGTGGGAACCTGGCAAGGCCTTACCGATCCGCAATCTTCCAAACAGTGGGAGCTATGGAGGTGGCAGGGATTGGCGCAGCTGTGGTCTGAGGAGCCTCCCTGGTGAGCCCGGAGAGCCTCTGCAGGTAAGTGGTATAGAAGGACCTGGACTCCATCAGCCTGTGAGGGCAGAGAACCACAGGGGAGAGCCAGTGAGTCTGGAAGAACAAAACCCAGAGTTAACCTCGGTCAGAGGAGGGAGCGGCTCAGCCCACAGAAATGTTTATCAGGCAGTATTTGAACACGGTTCCATCGTGTCCTCACTGAGGCCAAAACAGAGTACCCAGGCCTCACTTTAACCTTTCTAATCACTGCACACATGGGTTAAGAAAGCCTCTTTGACACCAGCCTGTTGCCAAAACCCCATTAGGAAAAGCCACAGGGCCTGAGAGTTCCTCAAGCCAGGCAGGGCCAAGGTCTGCAGAGGCACCGGGCAGTGCCCGCACAGCAGGGGGCCCTCTGGGGACAAGACTAATTCTACCCACAAACAGGAATGCCTGGCTTTGATGACCTTCCTCACAGACCAAAACAGCAGCTGACCTCGAGGAAGCTGTCCCCTCACAAGCTTGCTCTAAGGTGCCATGAGGTGATGCTACTCCCCAAAGAAGTCAAAGGATTAAAAAAAACCAGAATAGCATCAAAAACAGAAAACCACCAGAATTCTCCACATTCCTTTTTGATCCTTTCGCTTCCTTTTTCTCTTCTACTAGAGGAGTCCTCAAGAGCAAGAAATATCTCCTGAGCACAAATTCCCTCTCACCCACCAGGGTGAGGGTCAGGGTCAGGGTCACCCAGAGGGAAAAATGCAAATCGCAGCCACGGTGTGCTGGGTGCCCAGGGGCTGGCAGCAGGTGACAACGGGCTTTCCACTCCACCATCCTGGCCTGACGCTGATTGATGAGCAGATGGCTGGAGAGCAGCCTCACCACAAACAATTTTCCCCTCCACCAACTCCAAGTGAGGAAACGACACCTTCTCCCCCCACCGGGCCTGGCACTCTCTGGTCCTACCCAGAGAGTTGGCCCCGCCCTGTCCCTGTGGCCCTCAGGCCTCCTGCACTGACAGCCTGGGCCTGGTGGCCTGGGCAGCCTAAGGACACGTGGCTGTCCTGCCCAGCTTGGCACAGGAGGCCTTGGGGAGCAGTGGCTGGACACCGCAGCTTAGCTTTCAGCTCCCTGGCCCTCAAGTTCCCGCCTGCAGGGCCAGGCTGACATCAATCATCTGCCCAGGGAGGGCACCAAGGCACCATCTGGTGCCATTTGACGGGCATTCAGCAGCGGGAGCCTGACAGAGGGGCTGAGGCTAGCCTGATTGTTTTCTCTCAGCATTTTGGAGCTGGCTATTGTCTGGCTCCTAATGAACTTTTCTGCAATTAGAAAACCAAAAGGAGGGAGGGTCAGGCATATTAGAGTCCTTGCCAGGTCTGCAGCCTGCCAGTGAATCTGAGAACAGGAGAAGATGGGGAATCGGGCCAGGGCTGCAGTGGGACTGTACACAGTGGAGTGGGGCTGGGTGCTGACACTGATGAGCGGGGGACTAAGGCATGACCCCTGGGCTGCAGTGCTGGGGCAGCATTATGGGCCTGGCTGTGGAGGCACTGGCCTGCCAGGACAGGCAGACCTTTGCTTTTCCTGCAGGGGGGTATACTTCACTGGCCCATGGCTCTGGGCAGGCAGAAAGGATAGGCGCAGGCAAGGAGCAGAGAGAAGGCAGGGAGCTGCCGCACTCACACGGGCACTCGGGAGGCAGAGCCATTTCGAAACAGCAGGTAGCAAGATGGGAAGCTGGTGACACCAAACTTTTTCAACACATTGTCCTCCGTGGGCAGGACTCTGCGTACTGCTATGTCTTGGTGCTGGGACAGGTCCAGAGTCACCTGCAGAAACAGTAGGATACCTAGAGGGCCAAGCCACTGGGTAGAGGAAGTCTCAGTTCAGTGTCCTGGGCAGGCACCTGGGTGGCAGCTCTGCTCCTACTGGACTCTAAACCTTTCAGGGTAGACCACTGTGACAGGAGAGACACCCACGCCCATGTTACTGTGGATGTTACTAATACACAGTAACAAGTGTCAAACACTGCCCACAAGGAGGGGCCGTGGAACTATGCAGACCACCCATCTTGAAATGTCCTAGGATAGTCCTGATTACACATAATTTTCCTTCCAATAAAAGCAACTGTGGCCAGGCGCAGTGGCTCACGCCTGTAATCCTACCATTTGGGAGGCCAAGGCAGGTGGACTGCCTGAGCTTGCAGATTCCAGACCAGCCTGAGCCAGAGTGAGACCCCATCTTTA